CAATGTGAAAACCATGAAGGAAGGAAAGAGGAGAAAGGACTCTTGCTAGTAGGCCATGAGAAGGTGCCACATGGTTTTGGATTAAGAAGTAGAGATCGTGGCGACTCATCTGATGGTGCTGGGAACCGCAAGAGGCCTGCTTTGCTGAGCCCTGGACTTCTGTTCTTTTTCTTCTGAAGGACGGTACCCCTGACAGGCCTGACTGGACAAAGGCGGGAAGACAAGTCTCATCTTTCATTATCCCTTCCTCTTCCTCTCTTAAAAAATAAACAGAAACAACTAAGTACTTAAAATGCAGTGTGCACAAACAGTAGATTTCTGGAAGTCTCAAACAGCCTGCCTAAGGTCAGATGGGGACAACATCTGACATCATTAGAGGCAGATCCAGAAAGTAAAAACAGCGGTCTACTACCACAGAAGTTCACACCACAAAGTCAGGAAATCAAAACAGATCAACTTAAGAAGCAGAAGCAAAAAACAACTTAAGAAGCAGAAGCAAAAAACAAGAGCCTCACAAATAATGGGAAGACAAAGAAAGACACCCAGTTGAAGGGAAAGGAGGAATCCCCAGAAAGAGAACTAAATGAAATAGAGGCAAGTAAACTATCAGATATTGAATTCCAAACAATGGTTATAAGGAAGCTCAATGAGCTCAGTGAGCTCAGAGAGGATTACCAAAAACTACAGGGAAACTACGAGGAACTTAATGCAAACTACATCAGCATGAAAAAAGACATAGAAACTATCAATAAGAAATAAGAGGAAATGAAGAATACAACTTCTGAGTTGAAGAACACAGCAGAAGGAATCCAAAGCAGGCTAGATGAAGCAGAGAACCGAATCAGCAAGCTGGAGGACAAGGTAGACAAAATCTCCAAGAAAGAGCAAAAAAATGAAAAAAGACTCAAAAAGAATGAAGAGGCATTGAGGGAAATGCAGGACAACCTGAAATGTAATAATATCCGTATAAAGGGATACCAGATGGAGAAGAGGATGAGGAAGGCATAGAGAACCTGTTTGAAAAAGTAATGATGAAAACTTCCCTAATTGGAGGAGAGAAAAAGCCACACAAGTCCAGGAAGCACAGAGGGTCCCATTCAAGAGGAACCCAAAGAGGCCCACTCCAAGACACATCATCATTAAAATGGCAAATATCAAAGACAAACAGAATCCTAAAGGCAGCAACGGAGAAAGAGGTAGGAACACATAAGGGAGCCCTGATATGGCCAACAGCAGACTTCTCAACAGAAACGCTGCAAGCCAGAAGGGAATGGGAAGAAATATTCCAAGTCATGAAAAGCTAAAGCCTGCAACCAAGACTGCTCTACCTAATGAGGCTCTCAATTAAAATGGAAGGTGAAATAAGGAGTTTCTCAGACAAAAGAAGGCTAAAAGAATACCCCTCCACCAAGCCAGCACTGCAAAGTATGCTAAAGGAACTGCTTTAAGAAAATGAAGAAAAAGAGTCTATGAATACCCAGTTCCTTTCACAGTTGCCAATACTTGATATTATCAATACTTTTTAATATATATTAATCTGATGGTGACAATGATGTTAATCATTCTTTTATTAGTTGAAACTAAGCCTGTTTTTGTATATTTCTTGCTTATTTCTATTATTTTTAAAAAGCTTTAAATGACTTTTTGGTATTCTTTATCCATTTTTTGATTAAATGTTTGTAGAATTTTTTCCCTAAAAAACAAAAAAACAAACAAGCCATTAACCCTTTTTTAGATGTGTTGCAAATACTTTCCTATTCTATTACTTGTCCTTTAACTTTTTTATATGCATATTACAGTACAGTCTTAAATGTTTAATACAGTCATATTTTCAATATTTTACTTTATAGCTTCTGAGTTTGAATATTTTATTTCAGGTTAAGAAAAATATTATTTTGTATTTTATCCTAAAACTTAGATTCTACACATTGATTTTTAACTCACCTGAATATTTCTTGTATGATGTGTGAAATAGGGCTCTATATTTGTTTTATTTCAAGTGATAGTGGTCCATGCCCCTTATTTGTTGAATAAGCCTTATTTTATCCATTGATTTGAAATATCAACTTAATCATGTATTACATTGTTAGACAGATATATACATGTCTCTAGAATGCTCATTATATTTCATTAATTTACTCGATTATTTCTGTGCTGGTGTCATGGTTTAATTGCTGAGACTTTATAATGGTTTTAAATTTTTAAATATTTTATAATTAACTTTGACATTTAAAAATAAATACAATCAATCTGCATTTAAGAAAGAAAGAGAGAGGGGGAGAGAGAGAGAGAGAGAAAGGAAGGAAGGATGGAAGGAAGGAAGGAAGGAAGGAAGGAAGGAAGGGAGAGATGGATCTCCTACCTTTTGCGAAATCATGGATGGAACTGGAGAATATTAAGCTACGTGAAATAAGCCAGTTGATGAAAGACAAATACCATATGATCTCACCTATAAGTGGACTCTATTCAACAAAATAAACTAATGAACAAAATAAACCACAGGCACAGAAACATGGAGCAGACTGAAAGTGACCAGAGGGAATGGGGTAAGAGGACAATGGTGGAAAGAAGGGGAAGGGGCTAGACCAAGTACATGTATGAATGATCCATGTACATGGACAACAGAGTGCGAACTGACTTTGGGAGCGGGGGCCAAATGGGATGGGTGGAGGAGGGTAAAGTGGGAAAAATTGAGACAACTGTAATAGAATAAACATGATTTATAAATTTAAAAAATAAATAAATAAAATAATATGAAAAGGGAGTATAAGACAATACATATCTTAATATTAAGTATCTAATAGGATTAAGCAAAAAAAAGGGAAAAAGAAATCAGTTTCAGAAGAGTCTTAGCAAACAATAATATCTGTTGAACAATAAAGCATTATACTGCAATAATGCAGTGTTGTGTGAATGAAATTTTAGCCAAATTTCCCTTTTGGGATGAGAAAAATTTTTTTTAAAGTCCGAGTGTAGATAAAGTGCTTCCTAATGAATATAAAATGGCTGAAAAATTTTAACACAATCCTGAAAATATGTATTTCATTTTCTACATTTGACCTACATGCAGAAAAGGTTGCTCATCACTGGCATAACTAGGATTGGAGAAAATGAGAATGAAGTGGAAAAAGATGTAGGGAAGAATGGCTCAGTGTCCTCAAACTCACAAATTAGGGAAGAATAATATTGTAGAATGCAGTAGGAGAAATTACCAGTTAATAGCAATGCCAACAAGGCAGTTTCAAACAGGTAAGAATGAATTTTTCATATTGAGTAGATCATAAGAATAGGATACCTAGAAAGTTTAGTTGGTGAGAATAACATTAACTTCAGATTTTTAAGTAGTTTTGATGAACTGAGTACAGAGAGCACCTTGCACTCTAACATATTTCATTACCTCACAGGAACTATCCCAATTTGTACTCAACCAAAGTCTCTCAAGAAATTCATATCATTGAATGATTTGAAGTTAGTTAGGTAAGGTTGCTTCATTCAGGTGTAATAACTGTTTTATTTATTTGAAACATCATTAACTTGGAACTAAAGACAAGAAGGGCTTCCCCAGAGACATTCAGTTTAACAAACATCTGTTCAAGTATCAGGTATGTGCTAGGCATCATGCTAGATGCTGAGCACACATGCATAGGACTTGACCACTTAGCCATACAACACTTAGTGTAGAAATGGAAAACAGGTTGCACAGTGGTTCTTAAACAAGGGGGACTTTGAGGCCATATCCAGGTTTCTGCCTTAAAAAACAAGTATGACAGTATCTGCACCAGTTAATTATTTACTTTAGTATATTGAGTCAAAAGTCAACCAAAATATTATAGAACAAGGGCACATTACACTTCTGAGCAACAGAAAAATGAACAAATCTGAGCTGAGCAGTTCTAAAAAAAAATAGTATTACATGGTGAATATGCTATATGCACTATATAGTATATACACCAATATAGTATAGATATCCTTTAAGCATTTCATAGTCTGAAGAATAACTACAAAAGCTTAGTTTTTACTTTTGATACAAATTGAAAGTTGTACATCACATGACATACGAATTTTTTCATATTAAAGAAGGCTATCATTGCTTCTAACTCAAAATGTCAATGATATCTTGCTTAATTTAACTCTAAACATCACTATTTGCTTACAAGCACTTTCAGGGAAAAAAAGACGCCTGTTCATTTATTCTCAGTGTAATTGCAAACCAAAAAACAAGTAAGCAAGCTTGTTTTCTCTTTCACTAACTGAATTCAATATTTAAAATATATTTTTACAGAGCTAATTCTAAGTATAATGGGTGAAGTATATTATAAATGAATTAATCACTATTTACAAAATGAGTCCTGTTACAGGCAGTTTTATAAATTATTGTAACTAGAATCACCAGTTAGAAATTACAGGTTAAAGAGACACATGTGGAAGGCACAAGTTCTAGTTCTAACACTGGCAGAATCTAGCTGTGTAACCTTGGACAAGTCACTGATCCTCTCTGGCCCTCAACTTTCCCATCTATAAAACAAAAGGACTAACACCAGGTGATCACTACGGTCCCTTTCAACATCTAAATTCTAGCTCTCTCTTCCCTAACTCAGCAAGGAGAATAAAATTAAAAAGCAAAATACAAAGCAAAACATAAACAAAAATACCCTAAAATGATTACTACTGATGTAACAATTGTTACTTAAGAGTCCAGGATCTACTAACTGTGGCAGTTTATTCTGTTTACAAGCTGACAAGTTAGGAAGGCGTAGTACTAAAGTATGCCATAAAAGTGGCTTGGCTGTCACACTTTCCACACAAAGATGATCCAAATACTGTTGAGTTGCAGTGGAAAAGTACTAGCCTGGGAATCAGGTTTTAACTTGGTTCAGTGGCATATTTCCTAAGTAACTTAACATCTCTGGGTCTTGATTTTCTCAGGTGTAAAGTGACAAAGTTGAACTAAGACCCTTCCTAAAACCAAAACTGTTTCTAAGTAGTTATTCTCAACCTACCCTTTTGTAATGCATTGTTTCCAAAAACAGCTTGGTCTGCTTATAGATTTCTTGGCCTGTCTTGTGGAAGGTCTTGAGAAATTCTATGAACTCTTTAGACACTCTATCCGTTTCAATGCTGGTTTGCCGGTTTATGGAAGGACTGGGAGCTTTTGCTTCCTGAATGTCTGCTGGGAAAATTAAAAATAAGTTTCATTACATAGAAGAGCCATGCATAGAATTACTTTAAGTATCTAATTTAAGATTATTTAAATGATGCTTAATCAAAGTTAAACTTGAATTTAAATTATTTTATGTTTAAATACTTGGGCAACTTTCCTTCAAGTAACCTAAATCTTTTTTATGAGTAGGAATACACATAGATAAAACTACATGATCTAAAAGACATCCCTATTCAAATATAAGTTACTCTATTTGGATTTTCTTAGCCAAATATATCATGCTTTGATCCATGTATTTAATCATTAGTATTAAAATGGCACCACTATCTTGAACAACTTTCTCAAAGGTCTGCATGAGTTTAATAAAACTAATCAAGTGAAATAATCGGTAGAAGTACAAAAATGTTAGATGACTTTTAAAATGTTAAACAAAATTTCCAAATCCCTTTTACTTGCCCAAAAGGTACAGACTAATTTATTTATGTGGAAATTAACAATTATTTATCCACCATTCACTTTTCAAGTCAGACTGCTCAAAGTGAAAGAATAACATTCAAAGTAGCATAATGATCATGACAGAACATACACCAAAGAGGCAAGGGAAGCACATAAAACACGTTCAACCAATTGGCCACACAACTTTTCCCCCTTCAATAAATACACTGAAAGGAAAATGGGACTTTCACCAAGGTGAGGAGATGTAAGAAAAGTACAAACTATCACTTGGTCTCTTATCACATTCTAAGCCTTCTGATTTTGAACTGTGCTCCCTAATTCAATACCTATAAGGAATCAGGTACCTTATACACCCATGATTCCCTTTTAACACAAAAAGAAAGATAATTAAGAAAAAAAATTATCTTTTGAAGGTATTAAAATCAACCTATTACATGTTTCTCAGAGTAATTTCTTGTAATCTTATTTTTGGAACTTTAGTATCTGATGTACATTTTAATGATGAAGTTGAAATAAAGTTTTAATATCATAAAGGCACTACTCCTACTAGAGTGCCTGGTGTATTCAAAGTGAGACAAACACATGTAGATTACCTAGAAGTATATACTATTAACTGCAGCAAACTAAAGACCCTACATCTCACTTGGTACACAACAGGTTATTAAATTGTTACTTAATTGCTTGATTTAAGCTTAAATTAAAGCAAAAACGCCCTTCCCCCACCAAACTGTACTGCTGATTAGAACAAAATTGCATTTTATACTTATTTTTCCAAATCAAGTACTTGCCTATCTTTAAAACTACCAGTGCTTCCTAAATGTGATTCAAAATGTAGAAGCCTTTAAAGAATCCAACCACATTAAAAGAAAAATATAGGAAAGAAAAAAAAGCACTAAAAAGCCCCTACTATGTAGAGTGAAAAACATGTCATTCAAAAGTCAGAGCAAACTAGAAACAATTTTTTGTATATTATATCACAAAAGGATTCCTATAAATAAATAAAATCTTAACAGTTCAATATGAAAATGGGTAAAGAATACTAACAATTCACAGAATGGAAATGTAAATGGATCTTAACCAGGAAATATGCTCACCCCTACTCATGTTAACAAATATGCAAATTACTATTATTATGAGATGCCATTTAAAAAAGTAACAGACAAAAATCTGAAGTTTGATGTTAATGAGGATATGGGGTAGGGAGGGCACTCATACTATAGAGGTGGGAATGTAAAATGATATAACTGCAATGAAGTGCAATCTGGCAATAATCATCAAAACTAAAAAGTCACGTATCCCATGACCAAAAAATTCCATTTCTCAGAAATTTTCTACTGTATCACTGTGCATGTAGACAATAAAATACGTGCAAGGCTACTCTTGTTAATACAATACTGCAACTGCACAAAATGATGATTAAGGGACTACATAAATTATGATTTGATTCACAAAATGGAATATTGTATAGTTTTAAAACAAAAAAGTATGCTTTTAATGTACTGATAAGGAAAGAGCCCCTAAATGTATTGCGAAGTTAAACAAGCAGGGTATGGATAGTGTGCTGTCTTTTATGTAAAATAGGGGAACTGGGATAACATATGTATTTATAAATGAAAACAAAAGCACAGAAGGATAAATAAGAAACCAGTAATAAAGGCTGTCTGAATGTGGTGGTAGTTGTCAACTGAATGAGTGAGGGACTACATGCCTTTTATTTTTTGAGCCACTTGGATGTACTACCTATTTGCCATTGCTGATGCTTTGTTCCTGGCTGCTGGGAATATGAGTGTTTCCCAGCCTGTGTGCTCTGGGGATTGTTCTGCTTACTCCTTTATCCTTTATCCAGTCTTGGGCAGTTTTCTCACATGCCATGTACAGTACTCAGTTAAAGACTCAAGGGAACCCCTCTGCAATTATCTGGAATTTTCTCAGTACAGCCTCATCCTCTCTGTGTTCTGTCATGCCAATTCTAGTAACTCACTGTGCACTAAACTCATTCCCCAAATGCCGTGAGTTTGAATTGGGTCTCCCTACGCAGCGGCCTAAAAACTCTCCCTACAGTGAGCTGGGGCACTTGTAGGACTTACCATGTTTGTCCTCTCTCAGCAGTTACTCTCCCACCTGCCTGTTGTCCAATGTATGAAAACTATTATTTCTTATATTTTGTCTGATTTTCTAGTTGTTGAGGGAGTAGGGTAAACCCAACCCCTGTTATTCCATCATGACTGGGAGTGAAATTATCAGAATGAGTGAAGGATTGAATTCCACGTATTAAAGAACCATTTTTGGTCACACACAAATACATTTTTGGTTTTCTATATTGATAAAAAATATTTCAGAAAAAATACTGCCAGCTGTTATTTTGAGTTAAACTGTACCTGATTTATTTGCTACCCATTTGTGTATTATTTTCTCTAATTTTTTTTCAAAGTAGATTGTATAAATCCTGCTCCTTCCCCCCTTAATATGAGTATTTCCTAATAACAAGGATATTCTTTTACACAACTACAGTACAGCTATTTTTAAAACACGTGTGTGTGTTTTTTTTCTTAACAGGACACAACTGAGGGTCATGCATTCATTTACTGGTCATATATACTTAAGTCTCCTTTAATCTGGAAACGTTCCCCAGTTTTCCTTTGTTTTTCAAGACATTCACAATTTTGAAGAATACAGGCCAGTTGTGTTATTTATGCCCATCACTTTGGGTTTTTCTGCTGTTTCCTTACAACTGAATTCAGGTTATAAATTTTCATCTTAAATATTACCTATTTCTTGTTGAGCTCGTTTCAAAGTATCATATCTAGATAATATCCATCTTCCCCCATAGTTATATAGTTACCATTTTTCTACTTGTAATTAGTAAGTAAGTTATGGGAGTTTATCTGACACCATGGTCATAACTTGTTCCTCAGGAAACTCCCTCCTCTCAACCCAGATTTAGCACCCACTGACGAAACTTGCCTTAATTAATCCTTATAATGATGACTGCAAAACGGTGATTTCCTATTTCCATCATCCCTTCTATACCGATTAGTCAACATTCTTTTGTAAAAAAGAACTTTCTCTTCTCTTTTATATAAAATTTAACTATTTTATTAGTGGGTGGACTAAAGGATTATTATTTTATTCAGTGATACTCCATTTATTGTTCTTATTTATTTGATACTCTAATGTGGCCAGTGGGAACCCATTCAAGCTGGCTTCTGAGTCTTTGACATGTCCCCAACATTTTGGGGGGGCCTTCTTTCTCTGTTCCAGCCCTGGAATCAGCCACTTCTCCGAGGAACCCTAGTTTACTTAAGTGAAGAACAGTATTAGAATCTAAGAATTGGGTGGAAGACTAGTATTTTAACTCTAGGAGCATAGCCTTTAGATTCATTTGTAAAAGCCATACACAAGTCTCTACTCAGGGTGACATCTTTTTGAACTCTTAAAAAAGGAGGCATTTTTTAACGGATGAGCAATTATTTCCACTTGGCCAATCCACCATAATTTGTAAACTATAGCTCACTCAACCTTACTTTTAGAAATTAGAAAACTGTAAGTAAACTCTCTGAGTTTTCACAGTCAAGCTGGTACATTATCTCTCTGAAGGGGCATCCAACTGTTGTTTAAATAGCCTTCAAATCCCTTAAAAAGTTATTTGTGTTCTGTTTATTACCAAGCTGCTCTGGCTTAAAAGCTTTCTTTTGTGCTACCAGAGAAGTAAACTATGAAGAGCAAGGACATCATGTATTAATGAAATAAAATAAAGAACACAGAAAACAAAAGGTCTATTTTAGTCTAGACCTAATAAGTTAAAAACTTATCCACATGCAAAGGCCAATCAGTCTAAAGTGTGAAGTTCACCTGGCAAAGTTACATAAGCAACATGTAAAAGAAAGATCCAACAGTATCCTCTTGACTAATACACACACATTAATTTTTGAATACTTTGGGGTCTTTATTCCCATATGGTTTCTATAAACAAACAAAAAAAAAGCTAAAGATAAAAAATTTAAGGAGAACCCTATCATTCTAAAGGAAAAGAAAAAATGGTAATACTCTGTATAAAAGTTTTTTAAATAAAATAACTTGAAATTGTTTCTTTTAAAATACATATTCTCTTTCTTAGAACACTTCTCTAAAACTGTCAAGGATGGTCACTGAGTGCACATTACTATTATGCACTTCAGTAATAGAAACCTCATCACATCTATATACATGTAGGCGCGCACACACACACACACGAGTTCAAGGAAAAAATACTACACCAGGAGTTAGACGACCTGAGTTCTAATACATCAACTCATATAACCAAGGATGGTCAGTGAGTGCACATCACTATTATGCACTTCAGTAATAGAAACCTCATCACATCTATATACATGTAGGCACACACACACACACACACACACACACGAGTTCAAGGAAAAAATACTACACCAGGAGTTAGACGACCTGAGTTCTAATACATCAACTCATATAACCTTGGGTAAATTAGTTAACCTTTATGGGCTTTCATATCATTTGTAAAATGAGGCAGTCAGAGCTGATGGTTTTATAATTTCTTTACTATTTCATATGCCGTCGTACACCATTTCATCATCTACCATAAATTCATAAGGTCAGTGAGAGTTTCGCAAAACAGGAAACAGAATTTACGCTAAATAGGAATAAATGGCTTTGATCAACACCTTTGAGTTCCTTACTAGTGGAGAGTATTCTCTCAGAAAAACATTTTAAAATAATTAACACTTACTGGAGATTTATAATGTGAGTCAGGTACTGTGCTAAACTCCTTAAACACACCAACTCATTTAATCCTCAAGACAGGCCAATGGCTAGCATTAATGTCCCTCAGGACAGATAAGGCTTAAAGAGGTTAGTTTGCCCTCAGTCACATAGCCAGCAAACATAAAGCTGAGACTCAAACCAGGGTGACTCCAAGGCTTACGTTCTTAACCACCCTACTATCTACCTCCTAAAAAGTAAATCATGAGCCACATATCTTCGTAATTTAATCTCTAGCCAGTACTGATTAATCCCCTTCTTACTGCAGGAGAGAAAAATGCTACAAGTGAACAGCCAACCAAGAAACAACTCCAAATTTATCATGTGAATTAAAAGATTATTTAAAGGCTTAAATTTATAAGAGAAATGTTATGTTTTTTGTTATAAGCAACCCTTCCCTTTAATAAAACAAAACAATAGTCATTAAATCTGAAAGACCAGCAAAGATCTTAAGGGATGATGTTATTCATTCCCCTGCTTTTGGACAGGCCAAAAAAACCCCCTCATCACAACTACCTCAGGCTAAAGGGTTGGGAGTGAGACAGGGACTTCAAGAAAAGAGCTCTTCTGAAAGCATCAGTGTTGGTTCCCAGTCTCCCTCACCATTCCCAATTCACTGCACAACGGATTACTAACATAAAGGTTCAGAGGCTGAGTCTTAACAAGAGACATTCCTTCTTGCTTCCTGCTAGGCCATTTCAACTATCTTGTCTGCTCCTTGATAGAATAAATCCTTGAAAAGGATTTATTTATTTACTTTTAGAGAGAGGGGAAGGGAGGGAGAAAGAGAGGGAGAGACACACTGATGTAAGGAAGAAACTTTAATCAGGTGCCTCTTGCCCACGCCCCAACCAAGGATGACTTTAGTGGTAATCATTTTGCTGGTTATATGGCATTTTAAGAAGTAGGATGAAAAGGTCAAGTACATATAAATCCATGAACTAGAAAATGCATACTATGGATTACATTCACCACTCTAAAAGCCGAAAGCAAGCATTTTTTTATTATGTTCTCTCTATATTTTCCTCAAGATACTGTCTCTCAGAAAACTTTCTTTTTAGATGACTTCAAGCCTAAAAACAGCCATTTCTGAAAAGGCATGGACGGTGAGGGCAATATGTAAAGGAGAATAAACCAGGAACCAAAAATTAAAGGCACAAAAAATAAGACAACCAAAAAGATAGCTTGTTTAGATGGGAATGAATTTTATAAAGAAAACTATGTATTTCAATTTTCTTTATTTCTCCTAGAGTAAACAAGCTTCTCTAAAATACAATATCCTCTGACCAAAGAGATTTTTGGTTTCATTTATTGCTTACCCTTCAAATCCAATTTCGGTCTCAAATCTGAGGTGATAGTCTTCAAAAGCTTAGAGAAATTAAAAGGACAGATAAGGCTTAAAGAGATTAGTTTGCCATCAGTCACAGAGCCAGCAAACATAAAGCTGAGACTCAAACCAGGGTGAGACCACACGCTTTGTGGATCTACTCTATACTTCATTTGAGCAAAGAAAAGAGAATCAGAAAATTACCCTTCTTTGATCCGGCCCTGGATGAAGCACTGAAGAACTTCTTCACTGTGGTGACCTTGCGGGTCTTCTCATTGGTTTTCTTTTCTTCAAACTTGGAAAATGTGAGGGACTGAGCCCCTTGGCTGCTCTGACTACTGGCAAAGGCCTCCTCCTCCTCCCGTTGTAGTCTGTAATTCAAGAGAGGCTTAATGACCCAGATATTTTTCAAGTTTCCCTTGTATCTAAAGGTTATAATTCTATAAATTGAGGGGGATCTAAAATGGGGTTTTTAGAACTACAGGCTAAATACACCAAATAGGTCTGAGGTCTCTGATGTGTAACTATCTTACATGCTACTACAGACTTTTAAAAAAGGATTTATTTATTTACTTTTAGAGAGAGGGGAAGGGAGGGAGAAAGAGAGGGAGAGACACACTGATGTAAGAAAGAAACTTTAATCAGGTGCCTCTTGCACACGCCCCAACCAAATACCGAACCTGCAACCCAGGCACGTGCCCTGAATGGGAATTGAACCAGAGACCTTTTGCTTTGTGGGACAACACTCAACCAATTGAGGCGCACTGGTCAGGGTGCTACTGCAGGCTTTAAAAGGGACCTTCTCTACAGATCATGCTCATTCAGCAATTGTTCTAGCGTTACACAAAAGAAATAAATTCTAGTCCTTTTATACTTAATAAGCTCAAGGTCGGAAGATAGAAAAAGATACGTAAATAATCAGAATACTATATGACAGTTCCTATAGTTGAGAGTAAAACACAAGGGCTACGAGAACACAGAAAAGAACTAAATCTGCTGGAAGAGTCCAAGAAGGTTTCACAATGGGGACCTTTAGGTGTGTCTTGCAGGATTAATAAGATTCTGCCAAGTCAAAAGGCATTCCAGGAAGAAGGAACTACAAATGAGAAGGCATGTCATTCTTGTTATCAACCAAGTTCAATGTAGTCAGAGCAGTGATAGTGTAGTGGACTATAATGCTAGATGTGTACACAGGCAGGTACCAGGTGGTAAGAAACCTTAATTGCCAACACACTTTCATCCTGGATTTCATCATGTGGTGGAAAACCAAGAAAGACTGTAAATCCAATGAGTTATCACTATCAGATTTGTATTTTAGAAAGATAATACAGGTAGCTGTGTGACAACTTGAGGGGCAAAGAGACTACAGACAGGAATAATAATTAAGAATACATTACAAAGGATTAAGTGGGAGAAAATGAGGACCTGGAAAACAGCTGAGAGTGAATTTCAAAAGATTATCATACTAAGCTCAAAAAAGTAAAACTTGTGCAATTAGTTGTAGATAGTGTGAGAGCTGACAGAGAAAGTAAGAATGACTCCCATGTGTTTTAGACAACTGAATAAACAGTGACGTCATCAACTGATACAAAAAGAGGGTTAGGAGAAAATGCTGAAAATGGGGATGAGAGTAAATAAAAGCAATAACTTTGGCCTTTGACCAGCTAAATTTGAGGTATTTATAATAAATCTCAAAGGCTACCTATAAAACAATGGTTCGCAAAGAGTGATTCCCCAGACAACAGCATCAGTATCATCTAGAAACTTGTTGGAAATGCAAATTTTCAGGCCTCACGCCCAACCTAATAAAGTCAGAGACTCTGGGGGTGAGGTCCAGCAATCTGTTTTTACAAGATTTCCAGATGATTTTCATGCCTGCTCAAATTTGAGAAATTGTGCTGTAGGAAACCTCAGGTGAGGTTACCATTGGAAGTAGCAACAAAATCACAGGGAGAGGTGTTAGTCTGTGAATGGAATAGAGACAAAATAGAAGGTTTTATATATATATATATATATATATATATCAGTATCTATCTATCTATCTATCTATATATCTCAGTACATTATGATGTGAAGAGGTGAGAAAGCTAAGAGAATCATACTTAGGAGCCTCCAATTTCTTTATGAAATAGATCAGCTACTAAGAATATCAGGAATGCAGAGAAGGCCCCGAGGAAATAGGTAATGTTCTATGTATTTTCTCTCTGACTGACCATGGAGTCACCAAAGGCAGCGAGTGTACTTTATAATTCTGTGAGTTTACCACAGATGCTAGCAAAGTAGCCACTCAACAAATGTGGTCGATTAGATATAAAACTAGCAAAAGTTGTCAGAGTTTAGTTTGACTTTCTTTTACTGAGAAGTTTTAGTTACTAGGATGCTCCAGCAAAGGATTAACATTATTTGTGGCATTTTATTAGTTTCTATGCTTACCAGCTATGCCATATTTTATTTTATCATAATCATATTTCTGTATAATACAAACTTCTCAAATAATACTTTTGACCTACAAACCCCATTTTGAAAAGTTAAATTTTTATAACTCAAGAACGATATACACAGAGCAACAGATTTCTACTACTACATGTTTATGACTGTGCCAGATGCCACACTGGATATATCAAAAATGGGAGAAAACAACTCTTGACGAGGGACATGTACCAAGCCCTGTGCTAGGTACTGGGTTGGCCAAAAAGTTTGTTTAGTTTTTTTCATACAATGGCTCTAGTAGTGCTTAGCTGTCTTTAACCTCATTCAAAAAAATTTTGTTAGATTGTATTGTGACAGCTGTCATTTCAGCATGCATTTAAAAAAAACTTATCAAATTGGTGAATTTTTGAGCAGCCATTTTAATACTGAAGATGGAAGAAAATATACATTTTCAGCATATTATTATTATTTCAAGAAAGGTAAAAATACAACTGAAACACACAAAAAAACAAAAAAAGATTTGTGCAGTGTATGGAGAAAGTGCTCTGACTGGTCGAATGTGTCAAAAGTGGTTTGCGAAGTTTCTTGGTACTACTGATATTTTGGCCAAATAATTCTTTGCCATGGGGCTATCTTATACACTGGAAGATGTTTAGCAGCACCCCTGGCCTCTACCCACTAGAAGCGAATAGCAGGAGATAGCCATCATACTCAGAATGTCCAAATCAATAAAGTTACTGGTGAAAATGAAAAATGTGTCTTTTAGTTTACGGAAAAAATGTAATGGACTTTCTGGCCAACCCAGTACATCATATATATTACCTCATTTAACCTCCACCATGAAGTATGTTTATGTCTATTCTTCTACTCCAAAAACCTTACTGTCTCTATTAGGGAACTAAGATCCCTGAAACACAAAATACTTAAATGGTAAGACAAAAGAGAAAATGAAGCCACTAAAAGCTAATCATTAAATGCTGACTAAGACGAGAGGAAAAACCTATTTCTCTTGACATTAGACTGACTTGCTAAGAGCACAAAGCAGAAGAGAAAAAAATGTATTCTGACAATGACAGTACTATGTATCCAATTAAATCGCTGTAAAACCACTCCCAGTTAAGCCCGTTTACCGCTCCGCTAGTTCCCAATCCTCCTGAATTTGCTTCTGTCTGGCTTTGTGGTACTCCTCCCTCCAGCACTTGGAACAGAAACCATGCCAAGCAGGGTTGCCGTAGTAACCACATCCTTTCTTGCATAGGAGCTCTGATTGATCCACATGAATTCCTCGGCGTTCAGACTTAAGGCTCATCTTCTCCCTGTTAATCAAGTAACAAACAAGAAAGTATTCAAAATGAATTATATCAGCACAGCAATTAAGACCCCAAAAATGAGTCCATATCTTCAAGCTATAGGGGAAGGAAGAAGAGAAAGAAGAAAAAGGAGAGAGGCAGGTAGGGAAGGAGAGAGGGAAGGAAAAAGTTTAGATATAACAAATTCCTGACAGTCAAATTAAAGAAAATACTTCTTAGTCCCTGCCCAATATTGCATTAAAGACCTAACGATAAAACGTAAAACTCCTAGAAGAAAACATAGGGGAAAAACTTTGACACTGGCTTTGGCAATGATTTCTTGGATGACAAACCAAAAGCACAAGTAACAAAAGCAAAAATAGACAAATGCAAACCTAAAAACTTCTGCACAGAAAATACCAGAGTGACATAAAAATGTGTTTTGTCTCACATAAATTAATTCAACATTTACCAAGAAAACAAGTATAATTAATTAAACAGAACAATATAAACTCTTTGAGAAGGCATTCAAGGCCCTCAGAAATCTAGAGCAAATTAACATGAGACTACTATTTGCTACCACTCACTACACACATAATATTGTGACAGGTACTTAATATAATTATTTATGACAAAAAAGAAAAGGAAAAAAAACCCAAGGTAGACATTATTTCCATTTTATTAGATGTGAGGCCTGAGGTTGAGAGAAATTTTCAAAAGTACCTAACCTCTAATGAAAACAAGCAAAAGAGAAGGGGTTCAAAACCAGGTGAGCTTCCAAAATCCTTACAATACATTGTCCCCAAACTACTTGTCCAAATTCAACTCATATTCCTGAGCACGATAATTTTCACTCATGACAGTCTCCTAAACAAACCATGCATGTTTGTGCCTCAGCCTAGACAGAATTCTTTCCCATAGATTTCTTCTGCTTTTTCAAAGATGATTCACTACTGAAAGCTCATGAGCTTCCTGTGAGAATTAACTCTGACCCTCTTCTCATAACACTGCTTATTTACAAAGCAGTTATATCCATTCTACTTCGTTATAAAGAAGAATTTCTATGTTTGACTTCCTCCCCCCAGACTAGAAGCACCCTGAGGAGCTGCTTTATATTCCCAACAGAACACAGTATGGTGCTGAAGTGCTCCATATGTGTTTTGAATTCATATGGAGACAAGACTGTTTTCTATTCAGCCTTTATTTGAACAGTGAACAAGCTTTCTTTTAAGATTTGATAACAAATTCGAGGACTTATGTTAGATATAGAGTCAGAAGGAGAAACCAATTAAAAAGTACATGGTAAGTTGAAGAGAAATTTTTAACTGTGACTTTCCTTCTTAGACTATCAGCAAAAAAATTTGAATTTTCTGCAAAGCTATTATTTAACAAGATTCCTTACTTGGCAAGTTAAACGTGTTAAGGCAATCTTCATCTCTGGCAATTGACTGGATCTTACGAATCCTGTCAGGCTGACTTATTTTACCAATCCCTATGTTATTCTTGTTGCTACTACAGTTAGTTATAGTTGTTAAGGGAGTGAGGAAGAACCACCTAATGGCTCTGAAAAGGGGTGGCGGGGGACGGGGCCGGGGAGGCTCTTTCCCTCTGCTAAATATACAGGAATAGGTAATACTGGTTTGTACAGAGAGGGATACACAGTTGTATAGAACCTACTTGTGTCAAGTACTTATAAAATATAAAATCACTGATTCATCAAAGCCAAGGAATTATTATCTTCATTTCTAAGTTCTAAGATGAAGTTCTGTTTTATATCACAATAAAGGCAGCCATAAATACTCATCCCCCAAAATCAATGATAAAAAAATGGACAAAACTGCCTCTCTGCTGATGAGTCAATGTGTTGGCCAAGGGATGCATTTAAACTCCAGGCCACCAGCTATTTCTGCTGGCCTCTCTCGTGTCTCCTCTGTGTATGCACAGGCCCCGTTGGCCAGGGTGAAAGGAAACCTTACAGGCTAGCAGTGTTTGCACACAAATTCTTCATCTAAACAAACAACAATCTTGGGCCAACCATTAAGGTATTAAGGTATGCAAGCACAGGGGTGAACTCTTAGAAGGCAGTCAAGCTTAAAAATAAAAACAGGAAAAAAAAAAAAAACTGAACAAAGACATCAGGGGCCACGTGAAGACTCTCAAGAGATTTCACAGATTTAGTCCAGCTATAAAACTTGTATGGTATACTGAGCACTACTTTGGGGGATTCTCATAAGCAAAAGAGAGGAGAAGAACTGGGGAGGAAGACCAGAATTGAATATATCATCAAGCACTCAGGGAGTTTACCATATTTCCCTCCAGTATCACCGATCTAAACCAGAAATGCACACCAAGGCACAGAGACAGTACCTCTAGTTCAGGCACAAGGAAGGAGAAAGGAAACTCCTAACTCTGAGAGAAAATATGAAAATCCCTCCATTTTATTGTTTTTCCCCTTCTCTTGAGCCAGAACATGGCTGAAGCAACCACATGCAGCACTGGCTGGAAACACAGACTGCAGAAGCAAAACTCTGAGGAAGCGAAACTATAGATTTTTCCCACTCTCCATCCTCCCCATTTCTTGTCCCCAAATATGCAAACAGTCATGGAAATACAGTGTTCATGAGAGTGGGGTAACTAACTCCACCGTTCTCTGGAAAGAAAAGATGAGAATCTGGAAAATAAAATAAGTGTAAGAGAAGCCACTGACAAGGAGAACTCGAGAAAGCAACCTGAATTGTTGCTGGTGAACTCCTGGGCTTACTTCTAGTTGTGCGTAAGACACCTAATGCTATTCAGGACAAAAGACTAAAATTCAAACAGAGCCCACCACACAAGTTTCAGGCTGGCACCCACATGAAGCAGATCAAAACTACCGCAAAGGCTTTGAAAAATGAACTGACATCGTAAACATGGCCCATAGAAAGTGGGTTAGAACTTGCAGCCCCAACTGGACAACAAAAGTAAAAACTTTTGCTCTGCAAATGTTACCATTAAGAAAATAAAAAAAAACCAAACTACAGACTGGTAGAAAAATACTTGCAATCACATATTTGACAAAGGACTTGCATCTAGAATATATAAAGAATGCTCAAAAGTCAACAGTACAAAAAACCACCCAATTACAATATAGGCGAAAGACTTGCAAGACAGAGATCTAAAGAATACATACATGCTGGGAGACAATTCTCACATTTCAGTCCACGAGGCCTTCAAAAACATCCTTCACTATTTAACACCCTTAAAAGAAACACATGATTATCTTCTACCAGGGCAGAGGGCAAGTTTGTTTACTGTCCAGTATAAAAGATCAAATGTTTCCCTCAGGTCAAAGGTTGGGCAGGTCTGTTTTCTGCCCATTTTAAAAGATTTGGCTTCCCTAAGCTTGGGTTCCTCAGCTGTGACATCGCCCCCATGGGACTTCAGGGTAAAGGTAGGCCATGTGAACATGAAGCTTGTTTTGCTGAAATCCTGTGAATAATTAAGTGCTTTGTCTCTGACTCAGGATCTCACATCTTCTGCCAGCATCCATGAATCTATGGCAGGATCACTTGCTACCTGTAAGCAGGGTAAAAATTCAGATCCTTCACAGTTCTTGATCACGTAGAAAATAAGCACAAGTCGTTCAACATCACCAACCATTAGAGAAATGCAAATTAAAAACACCATGAGGTATCATTACCACTACACATGTATTAGAATGGCTAAAATTAAAAATATCAATATCAAAAGTAGAAAGGATGCAGAGCAACTAAACACTCACACATTCCTAGTAGACTGAGAATAGTAAAAGCTATCATGAAAAACAGTATGATAGTTTCATAAAAAGTTAAACATGTACTTATCATACAATCCAGCAATCCCACTCCTGGTTATTTCCTCCAGAGGAACAAAATGAATGTTCACTCAAATATCCATACACAAATATTTCTAGTAGCATTACTCAGGACCATTAGAAAAAGGAAACCACCAAAATATCCTTCAGTGAGTGAACGGATAAACAAATTGTGTGGTACATCCATGCAATGGATGTTCCTCAGCAAAAAAAAAAAAAAAAGGGCAGGCCAAGGAGCTGTACTGACACAAGCAACAACTTGGATCGATCTCAAGGGCTTTATGCTGAACGAACGAAGCCCATTTTAAAGTTCACATATAGTATGAACAGTGTTTGTTAGGAATTAGGGTTGGGGGGAGGGTGTCTATAAAAAATTACATAGAAAAGTTTTTGGGAGGTGATGGAACTATTCTATATTCAGGTATTTACATAAATCTATACATGTTTTAAAAATCACAGAACTGTGCACTCCCTAAAATTCAATTTTACTGTATGATTAAAAAAAAAAAAGAAACTTGAGAGGCAATTTCTAGGTTGGATTGGTGAGAAAGTACAAAACAGGAGACAGAGATAGTCATCAAGAGACAACTACAGTAAGAAGTTATAATAATAGAGGTATCGATAATACAGTGGGAATGGAAAGGGGAATGGTGGCAACACATTTTGCAGGTGAGATCAGTAACAATTAACTAGTAAGGCATGGCAGGGAGATTTGCAAGTTTACAAATACTCTTTACTGCCTCTACAAGACCAAAGCACTCCAATCTCTATTTACTTACTTAATAGTTTAGCTTTTTTTCTTTTTTTTTAAAAAAACTTTATTTTCAGAGAGAGGGGAAGGGAGGAAGAAAGAGGGGGAGAGAAACATCGATCAACGGCCTTTTGTAAATCCCCAACTGGGGACCTGGCTTACAACCTAGGCATGTGCCCTGACCAGGAACTGAACCAGCGACCTTTCGGTTCACAGGCCGGCACGCAATCCACTGAGCCTCATCGGCCAGGGAGGCTTCCAGTATTCAGATTTAACATACTTATTTGGTAGATGAGGTTGAGGTAGAAAAGAAGAATAACTAAATCTAATCAGAGTCCAGATGTTAAGTTGAAGAAACTTTAAAGACCAATTCTACTTACTCCTCTTTCAATAAAGATGATGACACTGAGACTGAGAAGTTGATTTGTTCAATCCAAAGGTAGT